CCGTAAGTGACAGTATTTAATTGGTATACTTGAAGCGGCTCTGTAATATCCTTACGCCAAATTATTCTTTGTAAATGCCTGTCATCGGGATGCACAGCTATTTGACGGTACATCTTTTCTACATCAGCTGATAAAATATATTGATGGTGCCGAAAACGAATCAGTAAAGACAAAAGATCGTCTTGCACCGTAGGCCCTATCATCTGTAAATCGTTAAATGAAAGACCCGAGGTCGTAGGGCTACTTGCGTTAAATACTATAAGTTTGGTAGTTGAGCTATTCTCTCGCAGTATTCCATGATGAGGAATGAAATAAGATGTGTTCTCTGAATAATTTGAACACTTCGACATATGATTTAAAGATAAATACTCTGACATGAAGTCACAGTACATGTTACGAAGTGAAGATTGATTCTTTAACCTGCGCTCTAAAGACAAAAAGCAACACTTTGCTCTTTGATAAGAATCACCTAATAATTCACTACTTTGTTTTAAAGGGATTCTCACGCAGAACCGGCCGTCAGTAAGACGAGTGGTATTATTAACAAAATGTTCTTCACACAAAAGTTCTTCGCGGGAGTAATGACATGATTTAGAGTCAACTTCTTCGAGTTGCCAAAAACGCGTAAGCTGGTTCTGTATGTCATTATTTATACGCTCCGCGTCGGTTAATTCATCTGATATGAGATTGCATTTAAAAGTGTTCGATGATGTCGATACAGATCCGTACTTAATAGGACCGAAGACTAACCAACCGAGTTTAGACTCATAAAGTATCGGCTTCCCATCACCTAAACTTAATCTTTGAGACCCTAATAGGTCCCAAAATATATCAGCACCTAAGATTAAATCTACGGTGGCAGGAGTATAAAAATGAGGATCTGCCAGACAAATGTCACCCGGAATATTTAATGTCAAAAAGTTTACTTGTTGACTAGGGACCTTATCTGTAATCGACGGCAAAATTAAACATTGTATATTCGTAGTAAAATTATTATTTAAGGACTTCATTAATACACGACATGTTTTAGTCACCTTACATCCAGTTTTATTAATACCCAATACCGATTTTTATATGCGTCTAAAGGCAAGATTAAGCAAGTTAAAAGTTTACTAACCTTATTAATAAGCATTAATTAATCTATATACTACCTGATTATGAGTGTTGGATGGAAATAAAGTAAAAACAATTGCTTAACACTTAAACTTTGGTATCAAAATCACTGCATTTCAATGTCCTTCATTTGACCCTTAAGCTTCTTTGTTCTAATTTCAAATTTTCAAAATTTCCGATTTCCAATTTATATCTCCTTTTTTAAGTAGCCAATGGTCGATAACTTTTATTCCTTATATCCGGATCGAAGGACCATGTTCGGGAGTATAATCAGGTGGTGAATAAAAATGCTTAGGAAGATGTTAACGACTTCTATTCAAATTGTACACTGACGGTTATAATAAGGTCAATGACATTTGATTAACAAAATTTTAATTGGGACTTGTTGCTATGACAAATACCGCAGGCGTTTATAAATAAATTAAAATGTGGGATAATTTCTGAACATAGGTTGTACGTCGACACGGACTCCACACACAATAATATGGGCGTCCGCAGGTGGGGCGTTCCGAGGCCCATAGAAACATATGGCCTCGGATTTACTTAATGCCACCTCTAGCCTTAGTCGCCGAATACGCCTCACCACCTAAACCACTCCCACAATGGCGAGAATAGCACCCCGGCGAAAGTTTGTGCCGCGGGCGGTCACAAGGGTGTCATCAGCGTATCATATCACCGCGACACCCCTGAGGTAGGCACCATGCAGCACCCAATCATAACCTATCTACCCAATCATAATGTGGAACCCCACACGTCACCTCGATGGCTCGAAGCCCGTCTCTGCATGGATACTCTACACGACGGTCTAAAAAATAGGCCCCGATGGTGCGGTGCAGGTAAAGGGCCACTCACACATCACATGATACCAGAGCGCCTCTCTGATGCAAGCCCAGGGCAAGGTATTGAAGGCTTTGGCGATGTCAAGAAACACCGCCAAGACGACCTCACCCTGGGAAACTGCTTCCTGCCCGAGAGACCTCACCCTCAGCACCGCGTGTATTGTCGATCGACCCTTGCGGAACCCAAACGGCCTATCCGCAAGATTAGGGCTGACATGTCCCAGATGCTCGATGATGCGGCCGGCAACAACTCTTTCAAAGAGCTTTCCCACATCATCGAGCAGCACTATCGATCGATAAGCAGAGGGTGAGTCCACGGGAAGCCCATCCTTCAGGATCAGGACGAGTCTGCCTGTCTTCCACTTCTGTAGGATTGTGGCTTGAGCCAGACAGGCAGTAATCCTCACCCTGGGCTCCAGGGCGTCCTTCAGGACCAGGGCCCAGACTCGTCCTGGACCCGGGGCAATGCTTTTGGCTTTCATCTTTAGAACGGCAGCACCAAGCTCCCCCGGGGTCACCTCATGCACATCTGCAATTCCGTCAGTCGCCTCATAGTCGGGTCGGACCATCACAGGTGGCGTATGCTCCTCTCGCTGAGGGAGCCTGGCGGCTATGTCAGCTTCGATGGAAGAGGTCAGCGGGCAGATGACCCACGGACGCAGGAGATCAACTTAGCTGGTGCCCGACAACGACACAAAGACGCCGTCCGCTCCGCTGCACTCCGCAACAAAATCCTAAAATTCCCTGCTAACGAAAGACGGACAATCAGGGAAATCATCAAACTAACAGGCTAACAACTAGAGGCACGACACCATCCAAGGGCCTATCAAAGGGAGATTCAAACCTCGGCTTGGATAGCAATCGATAAGGGAGCTACCTTGATGTAGCGATAAGGTTGAAATTGCGATTTAATCCTGAGACGTATCGGCGTCGCACTAACTTTTAAGAATGAATAATTATACAAAATTATACATGAGAGCAATTTGTTTACGAGATTTGTTTATCTTTATTAATATGTGTTAACAGTGTTAACAATGATAATAGAAAGAATTTATTCACGAAAACATCGCCTACAAAATAAAAGGATATACAATTAATCATGCAGACGAGCTCTCGTAGATTCGTCATTAAATAATAATGACAACACAATGTAAAGCTTCAAAAACAACCAAGCGTACACGAGTATATCGCGGGTAGGCCGCGAATCTGGGACCTCGCATTCACCGACGAGCCGTATGTATGTATTTTAATGCAATGTGTGTGATGTAACGTGCTGCACGCGGGGGGAGCGCGGCGAGTGGCACCTCGTACGGCGTTTTATCAACACGGCTACGTGGCGCCTGTTTGAGCGCCTCTGACCGTGCTATGCCGCTATGCTAGACATAGCGGCGTTTCATTATCGGGTGGTGGCTGATTATTAAATATATTAATCGCGCCCGTAAACGCCAACGTATGAAAGGATGAATTTGTAATGAATCCCTTTAATTCGCAGATCTTCCATTCCAATTCAAAAGACTACAATTTCCTACTAAGCTTTATATCGCTGTGACCAATAATAAAACGCAAGAGAAAACATTAAGTATAGCGTGGGTGAACTTGAAAAACCGTGTTTCTCCCATGGTCTATTGTAAATAGCATGTTCGCGTGTTCCCAATGCCCAGAATCTTTACGTTCTATTTCCAAACGGAAAGGCATATAATATCGTCTACAATATCGTATTAAAATCTTACTCTATTTCGTGTCCTAAGAAGTGTATAGCTGGAAACACATCAAAGGAAAAAAATCACACCCGTTTGCAAGCCGCGTGGTCAAGAGGTCAAAACAAGTATAACTTCAAAAGTATTTTACTAGGAGAATAATTTTGTTTAATCAGGTTTTTGTGATTTTTTTTAATATTTAAAAAAGAACAAAATTCCAACTCTTTTTGAAGTTATACTTCTTTTGGCTAATAATGTTTACGATGTGCGCGCACACTGACCCTCAAAGAGAAATGAATTGGAATGATGCTTGGTAACCAAGTTTATCCTGGCAACATACAGCTTTTTGATTATTAACTTAATTTTTTATATTACTTTTAATTTGTTAAATTAAAATAAAATATAGTTATTCGAATTCCGTTTTTTATATTTTTTAGCGCAGACCATTAACAACAGGATCAATTTTCTATTATATTTAATTTCAGAAAATTGCATGTAATGGCAACAGTATTACCTGGTGACTGAGTGACTGATGTGATAGGTGTACTGATACCAGGGTAGGATTTCGTACTATAATTATAGTATTTGTACTATAATTTCATGCTTCTTACTATATACTACCCGTACATAAGGATAGTACGAAAATTTTTCCTAAAAGTCCAATGCTATACCATTCACTGCCAATCGAACATTACAAGAAGTTATTTGGGTTGTATTGTAATCACTTTGTAGTTCTATCGAACAATATAAAGCTATTTTACCACTTGTCTATATCATTATTCTATTGTTACCATAGATTATCCAGAGTTGTCATCGATGAATAATTAACGGAGACTTGCCGTGAATGGTACTTTTTTTCGATACTCCACTTTTTCAAACAGTCACTTTGCACATTGCACTCAATGTAGTATATGATAGAGTTCATAACTGTCTAATAGTACAATTAATTTATTATTTTTATGGTACGGCCATTCGTACTCAAAATTCAAACTGATAAGAATTTTCTGCGAGTGTTTGAAAATAATAATTTATATTTTGTGCATTAATTATGAAAATAATAGTGTACTATAATATTTTGTCAAATACTATCCTTTTAAATTTTTTGTACTATATTTTTAACCACACTTAAATCCAACCCTGACTGATACTGACTGATGACACTCCATCGCATTATTAATTAATAGGTATTGTTAAAGTAAACTGGAGAAGTATTTTAGTAGTACCTTAATAAAGCAATTGTGCGTATGTACTATGTAATAATAATTTTATTTGATTTGTTGTAAGTAAAACTTTGAACCTATTCTTTCTTATTCTATACTGTAACAATTTAAGTGCAAACTATCTGTAATCAATGCCCTACATTTTGATTAGAGGTAATCTAGCTTCATACGGGCATAAAAACCCTTGGAGAGTATTGGTATCCGGCTTAAAAGGTAGATGTCTACAAAACAACGCGTTTATCTTATAACTCAAAATGAGAAGGAGATTTTTTATTATATCTAAACCTGTATCATATTTACATTATTAGCGTTGAATTTTACTTCATCTCTCTTCTCATTTTAAAAAAAAGGTCATTTTAATATTATTCCTGTGGTAGAAAGTTTTTTTTATATTTCAAATATTCACATATAGCTGGAGATATAGAACAATTGAAAAGATTTGCATGTGGAGGATATTGTGATGACTCAACGATTGTCTACCTTCAACATCCTTGCGTCATTCTTAGCGCTTTAGAAGTGAGTTATTAACATTTCTGTATTTTTCTAAATCTTGTTGATTAATCAGAGATTCTCCTCTTATGCAAGATTACTCTGTTGTAAAGTGATATATTTTGGACACATAATACCCTGGGTGCCATCATACTTATACTATGCTTACAACACTAGATATGTTTGCACAGTGGTATTATATCCTAATGCATATTCATATAACAACCCTATTGCCATTTTGGCTTGGTAAAGTATATTAAGCAAAATGGTGGCGACATTGACTATAGTTTTCTTAAAATTATATTCTCGCAGATTAAATCTCTTGTAAATTCCTAGAATAACCATTTTCTTTTGTATTCAGTATATCAAATTTGCACACTTACAAATTAAATTCAAATGTATATAATTCTTGCACAACTCATAAATCAAACAGATACTACTGTTTGATAATTTTTTACACTAAGAGCATGTTTTTTTGTCACTTACAAATGTTTTAGGTAAATGTAAAGCAAATTGATGAGTGCATATTGCAATAAAAAAAAATAAACAATAGAGAATGATCATTAATGATTTAATCAACAAGCAGAATTCTCCCGTCGCTTATAGTATGTTTCGTAAAGATTATGACATAGTGTTATTTTCACTATAGAAATCTGCCATATTTTTGAAGTCACCATGTTAATTCTGCTCATATTTCTGGGTGGTTAAAAAAATAACCATGAAGGCCAAGGCGGGACCAAAGCTCCTTCCCTCCTCCTTCTTTGGCAAGACTGTGTGTTTGAAATCAAATTAGTAAAATGGCAGACATTCTTAGTGAAAAGTAGCATCTTTTTTTCTCGAAAACTTTAAGCTAATTGATTAATTCATTGGTGATTTTTCTCTATCTCTTAAAATTTTTATTAATTGCAATATGCCCTCGTAAATTTGCTTTACATTTACATATGGTAATTGTTGTAATAGTGGCATGCTCATTATTCTTATACCAATATTTTTAATTTAAAGAGAAACATAACTGAAACAATAATTACGAAGTGAATTTGCGTCGAAATTTAGATATTGGAAGAAAATCTTGCAATTCTAAAGAAATATTTTGTTACAGAAAATTCATTGATTCAATAATTAAGAGGGTAAAAAACGAAATTGCAACAGAGCCATTTAGGGAGGAAAAATGTTTAGGGATTTTTTAAGGCTTTTAGTTTCATTTTCAGACTTGGAAAAATCATCATATATCTTTAAATATCATTTGCCTCTAACTTTGAATACAAACAAAAACCAGTAAATACTATTACTATTTAATATGGATTTTTAATTAAATTTATATTTACTTGTGATCTGTGATATTTTATTATTATTATTAGTATCTTATATCCTTATTTTATTAGTTTCTAAGTAAGTACATTTTATTATTATATAAGTATCTATATCTGAGAAATTTATTATTATTAGTAATAATTGGCTACAATTTTTTTTATTTAATATTTACATACAATTACAATAAATAAGTTCATTAATGACGTTAATGACGTATGTGTGGTAACTCAGTGTCCGGGCGCTCACCTTTAATTCACTTTACAGAGCCAGCACAAATGAAATTGTTAATTTTAAGTGCCGTCTTATCAGGTGTTCGGCGGTGAAGGAAAAAACCGTAAGGAAACCTGCATATTTTCGAAATAATAATAAAAAAAACAAATTTCGAAAATATGTGGTGCATATTGGTATGCAGTGGAGTCGCATGGACTCTGCCCTGATAGCCTCCTCATTTACATAGGAGGCCTTTGCCCAGCAGGGAGACATTTATAGGCTGTTACTTTACTATAATAAAATGAAAATTTTGATAATTTAAAAACCGTATTTTCGTATTCGTATTATTATTTATAAATGACGAGAACTTAGATTCAATATATTTTATTTATTGGGAATTATTAATGTTAAAGATCCATCCCGAATAACAAGATTTAATTTCTTTTTCACAGAATCTAAATGTTGCCTCAAATTTTGACTTCGTAATTATTGTTTTGGTTATGTTTCTCTATCAATTTAAACTATTTGTATACGAAAAACACGCTGGCAGCTTTTGTAAACAATTATACTAGATTAGGTTATAGCTTACTTCATATTGATTAGTAAGGTTCATAAATGCACTTTTATGTACTTTACATTTCTCTAAAGCCTTAATGAACTAAATTATCATCTGACAAATCTGATACGAAGTTGAATTAGTAGAAATTAAATTTAATTATCTGTTTAATTTTCTAGGTACTAGGCTATAAAGTGGTAGCATCAAGTTCAACTGCAGTAAAACAAGATTATAATGAGTACATGTGGACTATGAGAAAAGAGTTTTCAGAACCAGAGCCGTCTATTATAGTAGAACAAGATAACATAACAAACTTTAGTAAGGAGGCCATGCACATGGGAAACTATCAACATTCAAATAAGGACGACGAGGTTTAAAGATTTGTTACCATTAACAATTTTTATTTAGTTATTATTTATTGAATACTATGGATACAAAAGGAAGCCATAACCCATCTACTACCAATTTGGATACTATACCTTCTGAGGATGGTGTTGTTTATATTGCTGTTAAAGGTTCCTTATATGCCAATGATAGCTCTGTATTTGGTCTAGGGCAAGAAGAAATTTTAGCACTAAGTGCCAAGTTTCCTGGATCTGGAGTTGGTGTTGTGAATGGTGTAACCATCAAAACCAATGTTCTAAACACACTCAACTCCTTAGGTCAGTTGGGATACAAGATAATTTCAAGCACTGGAGAAGCAGAAATAACCTGGACCTTACAAAGAGATATTTAAACCACTTATATTATAATCATCATTAAAACTCATTTTTAAGTATTTTCACAATGGATCACGATTCTAAATGTAATCATGATAATTGTATTATTGAAAATGTTAACAAATCAGTTTGTCAGACTATTTCTGAAATGGACTGGGAGAGAGGTTTATGGAATGCAGGTAATAAATATTTATAATCTATACAAAATTCAATAAAATAGCTAAAAATTTACTTTATAAATCCATGATAATTTTCAGCTTTCAGTGGTGATGAGGAAAAAGTAAAATTGTTGATAAATAAAGCAAAAAATGCCAATGAGTTTGTAAACACTGGTGATAATGCTGGCTACAGTCCATTACATTATGCAGCTCGTAATGGTCATGTCAACATTTGTACTGTATTGTTAAAATTTGGAGCAAAAATTGATGCTGAAACTAGATGTGGAAAAGCTACACCTCTGCATAAAGCTGCAGCAGCAGGTATATATGATATAGCTAATAATACTTTGTTATTTTTTTTCAGAGGTACTAGATGTATTATTTCACATAAGTAATTAAAACACATAAGTAACCATGCCAGTAGGTTTATTTTTTATGTTCAAATTTCTGGTGATAAATTAACAAACTAAATTTTGTTTTAATAATATAAATATAATAATTATTTATATTCAAGACTTCTGTGATCAAACAGACATTTTAGAGTGAACCTTGATAGAATTTTTTACATCAGAATGTTTACTTTTTTAATCAGTCAATTTAAACTGTGTTGTAGGTAAATGCTATTTACTATATATTTCTTATTCTTTGTTCATATATTTGTTCTCATTTTTTTAAATTTTTTACTCTTGCACCTTTTGGAGAGCCGTGATAGCTCAGTGTCCGGGCGCTCGCCTTTAATTCAATATACTCGAGCAACCTGAGTTCGATTCCCGGTGCCGGCACCAATGAAATTTTTAACTTTAAGTGCTGACTTATCACGTGCTCCGCGGTGAAGGAAAACATCGTGAGAAAACCTCCACATTTTCGAAATAATAACAAAAAAATATATATTTCGAAGATGTGTGAAGTCCGCCAATCCGCAGTGGGGCCGCGTGGTGGACTATGCCCTGATACCCTCTTTATAGAGGAGCCCTTTGCCCAGCAATGAGACATGTATAGGCTGTTACTTACTTTTGCACTTTTGCACCATAAGCTCACCACATCCTGGGTTGACTGGTAGAGACCCTAGAGAATGCCTTTGGACATTAAGTCTGACCTCTGTTACCTGTTTTACTTAAGGTTGACAATAAAGGATAAATAAACGAAGGGTTGAAAAAGTAATCCGCCGTTACGAACAAGGAATTTACATCTAAAGTGCTTCTATCGTCGTCACATAATGGCCGACGTAATTTCTAAATAGCGTTGAATTTAGGATATAAATAATTTAGTAATTTATTGAACTTAATAAGGAATAAAAATGAACCGCCATAAAAAACGATAATATTATACAAGGTGGCTTTTCTAAGTGTATCCATTTTTATAAATGAAACTAATTTTACGGATTTATCGCGTTTATTTTTAACACAGGTCACGGGACAGGTCTGTCCCGTGACCATGAACGCTGTCAAGGGTTCGAAACGTCGGGAACTAAAATTAAAAATAAACGCGATAAATCCGTAAAATTAGTTTCATTTATAATGTGTAATCGCGTAAATACAAGAAATTATTATGTATCCATTTTTTTTATTTAATTCTAGAAATAAATATAGTTATATAAAAATTTATAATTAATATTTAAAATAACTCGTAAGTAATTAATTAGGTACATTCATTTGAACTTTCTCAAAAAGTGCGTGCTTTATACGCAACTCATTTATTTTACGCGCGATCATTCATAACTAACACGCACACAAGTTCGTGCACAGAAAAATTTAGGTATTTATGAATGACTACCGCATTGTTAACGCGTTCTGTTTTTTAGGGAATAGAATGGCCTTTTTTATTGGAAAAAATCTTTGTTTTTTTATTTCAATAAACGATTATACTACCGAGTCTGAACCTCCTGTGTAAATTTGGGCACTTCTCAAAAAATCTCCCTGTATGAACAGGCTATCAATGATGTATTTTGCTAAAAATTTGCCATTTATTCTTGATCTGTTTTCTTAGTATCCGGCTTTCGTTTAATGGACAGTCCATTTCTCTTCTTCTTCATCATATCTTTCGCTTACAAAATCTCCAAAAAGTGCTCCATTGAATTTAATTCATCATAACTTTCACGCATTTGGAATTCTATAGAAAGCATAGCGTAATTAAAGCAATGAAAAAATAGGGCAGCAAGTGTTTGTCACTATAATGTAATTGTGAACAAATCTCACTAAGGAAACCAATTGTGGCACGTTTGACATAGGCATCAAGTAATTGAAATAAACGGTGCAAGCCGAAAACACGATAGTACGTGATTTTATAAAAAGGTAAAGTTTTTCGTTTGGGAACTAATGAGTAATGTAAAATGTGCTACCTTTCATGTTATTCATATGGGTAAGAAATAAAATGCAAAAGAAAAAAATATTCACATCAGTTTAAAATTGTACGCAATGCAAAACTTGCTGGATTGGTACAGAAACAAGACTTTCAGAAAAATCGTGTTTAATTTTTACTTTTTACAAAGCCCCTTAGACTAGAGCTTACTTCTTCCAGACTGCAGAGCAGAGCTTTCTTCTGGACTGCAGAGTTCCTTCTTTCTTACTGACTTCTTCCGGTTACTGGTTTCCACTGTGACATCTTGACTCTCTTCGATTATGATTATTCCCGCCTGATGTATTCCCGCCATTTTATACAATTTCGCATGCAAACATGTGCGCTGAAATAGAGTTGCAGTTACATAACCTGTAACGAGCAACGACTAGTAACGAGCCCCGGGATAGTGTCTCCATTACTCGGAAGAGTAGGCTGGCAATGGCCAGCCGGCTCTAGGTGGGGCTCGTTAATCACGCAGCCGTACATACGACGCGCTAAACGGGCCATTAACCCCGAGATGGTTTCTATTATTAGGTCCCTAGCGATGACGTCGTTCCTGCCGTACCTCTCCGCTCCCAGGATTACACGCAGTGCACAGGTTTTGCTGCACGTTTAACCTGCATGGTTAAAATTTAAGATATGACACTACACTATTACAATATAAAACTACACCAAGGTGCTTAGGGTATGACTACGTAAAATCTCTTTTTACGGTGTGTTGTAACTCAATATAAACAAAGATTAACATAATTGAAAATATAAAGATTAAGAACTAAAAATTCTTATTTACATTATTAAAATAAATAATTATTATGCAAATCTTTATTCCAATTTTTCCTCGTCTTATATCAATTATAACGCTATCTTATCCTTTAAACGAGCAATTCTTGTATGTATGTATATATATATATATATATCTTCTAATATACAGCGTGTCGTTACCATCGCGACAATAAATGAACACGTCTAACGCTACGTGCCAATAATCATAAAAAAATATTAACGTTAAACAAAATCCATGATTAAAAAAAAATATTTTTCAAACAAACTAATTAAGTAAAAAAGAAACAAAATTTGTAACATCCTATACAACTCGCGCCACAGCGTCGTATTACAAGCCTCTCCTAACAGTTTTGTCTCTTTTAAATTCATTCAACCCATTCATATGCTTTGTGACCTTTACAAATGAACTTTACGTTACGCTTTTATAGGTAAGGGTGTTTTAAAATTCTTTGGTTTGGAAAATTTTATAACTGTAAATATTGATGTTTAAAGAATTTAAATGTTTAATACAACTTTAAAAACTTATCCCCTATATATGTGTTAATTTATTGTCGCGATGGTAACGACACGCTGTATAAAATTCTCGTGTCACGGGGTTCGAACTTGAACTCCTCCGAAACGGCTCGACCGATTTTTACCAAATTTTATATGCGTATTCAGTAGGTCTGAGAATCGGCTACTATCTATTTTCGTCCCCCTAAATGTTAAGGGGGTAGTCCACCCCTAAATTTTATTTTTATTTTTTATATAAAACGTTTTGTTTCTATTTTTTTATGACACAGCATACAAAAATACATACAACCCTAAATTTTCACCCCTCTACGCAGACATAGTCGCGGGCAGCAGCTAGTATATATATATATATATATATATAAACGGAATCTCGGAATTGGCTCCAGCGATTTTCATGAAATTTAGTATGTGCGTAGATTCGGGGGTGAAAAATCGATCTAGCTAGCATTCTTTTTTAAATATTTTCTTATAAATAAAGGATAAGCTTTAAACGAGCAATTCTTGTATATATATATATATATATATATAATTGGACTCTCGGAAAGGTCTCCTGCGTTTTTCATGTATGAAGAAATTTAGTATGTGCATAGATTCGGGGGCGAAATATCGATCTAGCTAGGTTTCATTTTTAGAAAATGTCCTTTTATCCCTGTTTTCAGGGAATGAAAAATATCATTCGAATATGACGGTAAATTTCGCCGCAAGAGAAAATGTCATAATAGCTCGGTCGGTAATCGGGCGGCCCCAAAACAGACGGCCGTGGTTCGTGTCACGATCACGATACTTTTTTTCGATTCCAGACCATTGCTTTCTTTATTTTTTGTTGATCCAGAGGATTTAGTTATTTTTTTCCCCTTTTTTTAAAGTTGTTTCTTTTGTGAAAAACACCACTTCATATTTTCTTATTACTAGGTCGGTAAGATCGAAAAATATTATGCATATCATTTCATTACTCAGTCATTTGTATCTAAATATAATTTTCAAAATACACGATTTACAAAAAAAAACAAACCGAGGAAAGCTTGGTCCTCCAGGTACTATTGAATTAAACAAGTAACGTCAGTTTGGGTAATTTTGAACATTTTTTACGGAATTCGTGCAATTTGATATATATCTATCACACCTTTATTTTATTGAATAAATAGTGCCCTTTTGAGCTGGTTTATTTTGCCGACACATATTTTCGGAAAATCAACAGAACTATCCACAATTTCCCCCCAAACTCAAAGTTATCTTGAGTGTAGGGTAACTTTGAATAAAATTTTTTTAGGATGTGAAAACCATCATTATTCGAATATTTCAAGGTTTGGGTAAAATTATATGACGTATTTTCATTAAATAAAACCTTATCTCTAAAAATAACATATAGATTAACGTTTTAATTTGATAGATAGCTTGGTCTTGCCATTTGAATCGAGGGGAACCAATTTGGTGGGAAATAAAATGGTTATTTTTTTTATAATTTTTTATTATATCAAGATAAAGTTTCATAGAGTGAAACGTAATAAATTATACGTTTATTTGGCAAATGAGATCAAAATCGTAATCACTAGTAACTAAATGTGGGTGCTGAAATTATCGCACAACAACACCTACAGTTACAGGACCCCCAGTTTATAACTTCAGGATGCCGAGAGACTCTTCGATAAAGCAGTATCTTTCCAGGATCGCCATAAAATCCCGACTCATCCATGTTGTATATATTTTCTGATGGAGTCCCCTTCTATTTCCATTTTAATATTATCAAAGAAATTCTCGACCATTACTCGAATGACTTAAGCCCTTTTAATAACTATTTTATATAACTATTTTTGCTTTTAATTCTGCGTTTCTTTATAGTAACAAGACACCCCATTCGTAAGCCGGGCAAGTTATAAAAATAATATAACTTTGAACCATTCAATTTTCCCATATTATTTCGATTTTGAACGTTGTCTAAATTTTATCGTTTTACTACAATATCTAACATGAAATGCGGATAATGATTTGAAATGAATAATATATATAAACTACCCTTTAGAGATAAAAACCAAAACATGTCTGTTTCCAATAATTTTTGTATTTTTAATTACGATTCATACCCCATTCGTACGCCGGGCAAGTTATAAAAATAATATAACTTTGAACCATTCAATGTTCCCATATTATTTCGATTTTGAACGTTGTCTAAATTTTATCGTTTTACTACAATATCTAACATCAAATGCGGATAATGATTTGAAATGAATAATATATATAAACTACCCTTTAGAGATAAAAACCAAAACATGTCTGTTTCCATTGAATTGAGATAATTAAAGGCCTTTGCATAAATTCGATTTATTTCTTTTTGACTCTTTTTTTTTTATTTCGGGCATATTTTTATGAGTGGAATGGAGAAGAATTTGAGTGTATTTTGTTTTTAATTACATATAATTTTAATAAGATATACGCAATGTTTATGAATAATGAAAGAAATAAACCTAATTGGATAATTATATTGGGCTCAGATTTTGAACATTCAATGCAACAGGCACTCGCTTTTACCCAATCAGATTTTCGCCCGCGGCTCAGCCCACATGGACAAAATTTTATATCGTACTTAAAAAGTACCTACGGAAGCCTTCGTCCTAGACTCCGACGCGGATGGCGGATTTTTTTTAACTTTACATAAACTTACATTCATCATCATTTTACTGAGCATAATATACAATAGTTAATTATAGTTTAATCCAATTCAACTGTAGCTATTATATAGCATTTTATCGCACAAATCATCAATGTAGTTCTTTAATTTCATATAACTTTTTTATTTATGAACCGATTTCAATAAAATTAGCACAATGTTAAGTAAAGCCTACTACAATGCATTAGTAAAAGTTGCACTCAAATCATTAAAGCTGTTTCTGTGATTAGCGCACACAAACGCACAGGAAAATTTTTACCATCATTATTTTGGGTTCTACTGAGTTAACAAGGGTCCCAAATAATGGTTTCTCTCAAATATCTTCCACGTGCAGACAATGATCAGTGACATTTTTATTATAATACAAGCTGTCCCGGCAAACTTTGTTCTGCCATATAAATTATTTCTAGGGAATTTGTAGGTTAGAAAAAACTGTTTAGGGTGGACCACCCTTAACATTTAGGGGGATGAAAAATAGTTGTCCGGTTCTCCACCCTGGCCGATATGCACACAAAATTTCGGTCGAGCCGTTTTGGAGTTCAATTACAAACACCGTGACACTGACAAATTTTATATATTAGATGTATAGATAAAACGCATGTTAAGGTATTTTTATCAATTACCTAGATTCCATAGTACATGGTTTGCGTAATATTTGTAGAGTTGAAGTAGATAAGTTGTTGGCTAAAAAGTATGAAGAGAAATCTTTCACACCTAGCCTTTTCAACTGACTTTAAAAAAGGCTCTCAATTCGACTGTATTTTGTCTTACATTGTGAAGTTTTGTACTCTTATTTTTTTCATTATTCATTATTGTAACAATTTCAGGAAAATCAAATACAGTGCAATACCTCTTAAGTTGTGGAGCTAAAGTTGACAAGCAAGATATTGATGGACAAACTGCACTTCATAAAGCCATTCAAAACAAAAGAAACGATATAGCCCATATTCTTATTGAAGCTTGTCCTCATATTAACAGTATAAAGGATTTTAAGGGAAATCTAGCAAATGACCTCTCTTAAAGCTATAAAATACCAGATATGGTCTTCTTAAATTATTTTGTAATTAAAAGTATTTGTATTATAGTTTCATAATCTGAAAAATGTGTAACTATGTCACTCAAAAATCTTTAACTAACATAACATTATGAAGCATACAGTTTAAAAACAGAAGCAGACAATTATTAAAAACTTATTCAAATTCAAATATCTTTGTTCAACGTTGAGGATTATACACAATTTTTGATAGTTAAAATACTACCACTAGTATGATACTCAGTATTCTCTGTTAATGATTAACAATGTGCAATGAGTATTTAACAATTTTTTAGTAGTTTTTAACTCATAATTTCAACAATTTTTAAAACAAGTTACATTTTAACTCAAATCTGAAATATGCCTATCAGTTTTAAATTATGATGAGATATTTTGTTATTAAATGATAAGATGTTATTCTATACTGAAATTTTATTTCATTTTTGATATTTTTTTATATGACGAAAACCAAAGAAAAAAAATATTTGTTTGTTATCATACAATAAATGCCAATAAGTTTTTAAAAACCATCGTATTTATGTATAATTATTATCGCTAATACTGATATTATATGTAGAAATGTAAATTGTTTTAATATAACTATCTTATAACAAGAAAATTCATTATTGTGATCAAATTCTATATTTGCGCTAATGTTACAACTTAGGAGAACAATACATTAAAATGTTTATGATTTATATATTATTTTTAACTCTATATGAATAAGTCACCTTAGTAGATTAATATGATAATTTAATAAAACTTATCACTAAGAATAAGTTATCATTCCTAAAGTTTATATTTTTCACTAATGTACACATTTTTACTAAACGATTCTTTATGTATTTGTTCTTATAATAAAAACTTGACGAAAACTATGTTTTTTTATTAAACATCTATAATAGTTAGACTTGTACTTAGTTTTTTTTAACATAATCCAATATCTACAGAATGCAAACAATCTACTTAATTATGTATTAGGATTTTTGACTAGTAAACTAATTTTGTTTAAAAACAAAATCATATTTTCAACCATCACATACATAATCCTTTAAGAAATCAGCACATTCATCTTCCATCATAAGGAATTTCTTTAAGGATTTGGGCAAGGGCAATTTTGAAATGTAAGCAATTAAGTTTGCATTGTGACATGTGCGCCGTATTTTAATCCTACAGAGATCCGAAAGGCTTAAGGGTTCTTTAAAAGCATTTAGTAACCAATTTGCTGTACTACCTAACTTTGGAATTGTATCATCAGATTCAGAGGCATTTGTGTAATGACCAGCTTTTATAAGAATAGAAGCCAGTTGGTAAAACTCCCTTCTACTTGCTATTGACAGATTATCCAATCCACAAGAATGAAGATCGCAAATATTAACATCCGCTCCATATTTAATAAGAAAGACAGCTGCATAGTCCCTGCGAAATGTAAAGCTCAACATGAAAAATGTTATATATATTTAAAAAAAAATTGGGTTCATATTATATATATATATTACTTTTGCAAAAGCATAGCCCGGTTAAGAGCGGTATCCCCGGTAAGTGCAGTTGTATTCACATCAATATTGTATTGTGAGAGACAGTCAATCAAATCTTCAAATTCTACTGGACACTCAATACATTCCACGGCAATGTGAAGGGCATTAGCGCCAGTAATACTGTTAGTACAATTAACATTTGCCCCTGAAATAAGCACATTATAAGGTTTAATTTATTATTATAAGGTTTGATTAAATAAAACATGGTGGAAATTAAACTAGACAATCTTACCCTTCTGCAATAAAATACGCGCCGAGATTGGCTGTGATAAACGGGCTGCTAGTAACAAAGGTGTGTCACCATTATCATTATGCAAATTAATTCCACCACCTAAGTCAGACAACATCCTCACAATTTTTACCTAAAATAAGAAAAAGTTTGACAAACTTTAAAAATGACTAACAAAACGGAAATCTTCGAAAACAGTCAAAGGTAATAAAAAAATAACCTGTCGCTGTATGATGGCATTGTGCAATAATTTATGGGAATGAGTAATACGAGCACCGGAATTGAGTAAAACCTCTACCACCGATGTGTATCTCTGCCACACAGCTTCACATAATGGTGTATATCCTGAAAATGATATGAGTCCACATCAAATAGTATTTTTGATTTAATCATTACATTTTCAGTGCTTTAAATTTAAGTTGCATGTTGCATAAATGTCATCTAACTTAAAACATATTTTTGTGTTAACGGAAAAAATTAAACGGCTGAACTCACTTCCAATTGGTGTATTTACTGGCCGTGCAAGACTAATCTTACACTTTAATCTGATCCTGTGATAGTTCCAAAACTCACAAAAGACTTAATCATTTTATTTTAGTGTTGTAATACAAGTATTTAGTTATTTAAATTAAGCAATTACTGGTGACACAACAAACAATAATGATAATATGCTTTGGACTTTGCCCACCTTAATAGAAAGAATTATTGCTTTTAGATGTGTAAACTCATAACTGACTGTGATTAAAGTTAATTGATATCACTTTTATTCCCCTATTAAGAAAGTAGTTTAGTTACATAATTATAGTAGAATAATGACATTTAATTTTCTATTTTGAATGTGCAGCCAGCAGGCGGTTATCCTGATGATTAAAAAGATACCACCACACCCAGGTTACTGACCAGATAAAATGCATAACTATAACTCCCTTCACTCCAGTCATCTGGGAGGCCATAAGAGTATTTTTCTTGATGATCCTGCCCCTTCATGTAACTATGGAAGCTTTTGCTTTGCTCTATCAAAAGCATTTAAATACTGTACAATTTATGTCTGATTTGTCAAATTAACATCTTAACTAAAAAACATTTATCCTATCTTACATATATACTGACAAGATTGTAAAACTGCCCTAAGGGCACCGAACCATTATCTATAAAATCGCCTAAAAATCATGACTTTATTTTGTTGTATGGTTGCCCCACTTAAATATTTTTTTTACTCTATTTGTTATAGCGGCAAAGAAAAATATTATTTGTGAAAATTTCAACTGTCTGACTATCATGGTTCATGAGTCACAGCCTGTTGACAGACGGACAAAAAGAGAGACAGACATCAAAGTTTTAGTATTAGGGTACATACACTTTGTTGTTACCTTTAATTTAAATACATATATGTATATGGTTATTATTTAAGTACATCTTATGTAAATAATTTGTATGTGTTTACTTGGTAAGCCTATTATTCAAAAGCAATATGCTATAAATTAAAACATGAAAAAAAGTTGAGAGATAACTATGTAATTTCAAAACATTTCACTCAGCAAAATATTTAAAGTTAGTTATAACATTCATTAAAGCATTCTTACCATGTATTTCTTCTCCATTAACATTTGAACCCATGGATATAAGATATGTTACAACATCAACATGTCCTCTTCCTGATGCTAAGTACAATGCTGTTCTTTCACTTGTGTCTCTTGCTTCTATATAAGCACCATTAGTCACCAAAATTTTTACCTGGAAAAAGTTGTATCATAAATTATGAATAAACAAAATGCGCTTTAACATAATATTGAATATATAAAACTGGTATAATACTACTAACTAAAATAACTCTCTAACTGGTAACTCATAAATTAATATGTAATTAGGACAGTTCTTAATGAAGATGTAATTGCATCAGAGTACACAACATTAAAAATTGGAGCAAGGAATTAGTTTTACCAAATTAAAGGACTGTTTCTCAAAAATTCAGCTTAAATGGCTCACTATTCAAAAAAGTCGAAACTCTATACTCAATTCACCCCCTGGAAAATGCCATAAAATGACATAAATAATTAATAAAAACTTCCTATATGTGAGGCATTTGACTATTTTATGAAATAGAATGAAATATATGTTATTTATAAAAATATCTTAATACCAGATCCATAAATCCTCGTGATGCTGCAAAATGCAGTGGGGTCATCTTTTCATGTGTCTTGTAGTTCACATTACTTCCCGCAGCAATAAGCAATTTGGTGATTTCAATATGATTCTTCATAATTGCAATATGTAAAGGGGTTAAGCCATCACCAGAAGTTATTTCCACTTTACATCCTAAAAAGACAAAGGGTAAAGTAAAATGGCTAATTTAATTAATGTTTTATATACATGTATGGTATAAACAAAAATGAAAACAAATATACTATATACTACATACTATAATAAACAATAATGTCCATTATCTTGATTCTAGTTAAATTAAACCAAAATATTTACCAGCATCCAACAACAACTTTACAATTCCAGCATGACCTTGATCAACAGCATAATGCAATGCTGTTCTCATGAATGCATCTTGTTGATCAATGCCATTTGTAACTACTGAAGCAGAAGCAATAGCTGCACCAGTGCATTCCAGAATGGCTGCATACCATCTGTATAATTCAAAATGGATAAATTAATGTAAAATAAGAAAAGTCAATGTAAATATTAGTTCAGTAGTATATTTTCAGTTTGATGTATGCCACACACTATTGAGTATTATTTGGATAGACCAATCACTCAAGCCTTAAGACACTTCAGAAAATCAATTATGGTCACAACCCTATGAATAGACCCTGCAAACTATATAAAGAAAAAGTAATCAACCTATGAAAAATTTTTGAATAGTAGAAAATACTAACTTGTAGATTGATGACCATGTTTCATCTTCACTGGTTGTTGGAGCAACATTTCCTATTTCTTCATCCCATTCTAAATCAATGTGTGGTGATGTTGGAAGGGATGGTGTTGCAACAGGAGATTGAATATTGCTAATCCTACTTTCATCACTACTTGACCCATCACTATGTATATAAACAAAGTAACTCTGATCATTATCTAAATCAGCACATTCATGAATTTCTGAATCTATAGCAGCAGAATGCTCTAAGTGAAATTCTCTGTAAGGTCCATCATGGAGATTTTTGCATATAACAGCCGTTTTATAGTATTGACCACTCTTGAACTTTCTCTTATGATATTTGACACCTCGTTTCCTTGCAAGAGCATCTTGGGGTAAGGATTTGTTAGACACAGTGGCATCAATCAGGAGCTTAACAGCATTGATACTGCCTATCTTTGCTGCTTTCCCCAAACACGTTTTGCCGTGTTTAGTCACTTTATTAGGATTGGCCCCTGTTTTATTAAGAAAATTATTATATCTATTTTTATTTCAAATAACAACGTGCCGATTGACACTGATAAAGGTAAAGAGGAAAAAATTTAATACCTTGAGTAATAAGATGAATTATTGCATCTTGATCTTCTTTGTGTATAACTTGATACAAGGTTTCTTCAAGGGTCCTATCCATTTTCAAATTTATCAGATAGCGTCACATATTTCGATACCCTTTTCTTAATACGGAAATCATGAGGCGACAATAATATAATGTTCGGTTGTTAAAGCTGTGGGTTTCCATTTATTAAAATATATTGTTCACTGTACGAATAGACTGCCGCATAAATGCGGCACTACAGTTAGCTTAATAAACATAAAACTTGTACTGCAGAGCTTTAATAAATATATGTATATTACTACATCGGATCGAAAAATCAATAAAACTTCAATTCACAGAGGACGACGTTTATACGTTTATAGTGTTGTTTTTTTTAATTGTGCTCCTCTGCTAATCTCATAGTCTGCCAATGCTACTCTATTATTGATTGATTGATTGACATAGTCAAATTCACAGACATTAAAATGAACTGCACAATAATGATTGTAAACTACAATATGAAACTTTTTTACGGAAATCGTGTTTTAATTTGATTATAAAACTACCAATGTGTCGAACCCTTTCAATCATTAAAACAAGAGATTCAATCAATGATTATAAATTCCTTTTTTAAATGGAAATAAAAGAGAACCGAAATAGTCGTCAGGCGTCGCCTTGTGTTAGCATTGCGGTTAAGAACTCATTCCGCTTCGTGCTCTCGTAAGAAACAGACCTCTCTCTAAGACGGCAATTTAAATCTTGTGCAAATAGTGCAGTAGTTTAGTATTAGTATAGTGTTGTGCTCGTAGGCAGGTTCCTGTTTTGAGAAGAAGTAGAATCCTACACATACTTCTCGCCTCAGAGGCTGCTTTGTTTCATTTCTTAATTGTGTGCTTGCAATTGTGTGTTGCAATAGACGACAGCTAGGTACTCACCCTAGCGCACCTAAAGCGGAGGCAAATTAGTCGGTGCGCAGTGGTATCAACGCAACGTCGACCTGCACAGCGATTGCAGACTCCCGACGATTCGCGAATATTTTAAAGACCTGACCAAACGGTTCTTTGAGAGAGCCGAACATCATCCCAACCCTCTGGTGGTAAGCGCAGCAAATTACCAACCCGACACAAATGCGAACGTCAACAAGCGTCGCCCGCGAAACGTCCTCATCAACCCGGTCGAGGACTTGATACGCTGGACCCACCGCCGGGGGTCCCGCCGGATAACACTACACCCACAGCTAGTGTAACAATAAACACACTAGTTCGCCCTCACCTCCGAGCACGGCGAGACCAACACAATGCGTACACAAGGTACACCCGTTTTCCAGGGTGGTTCTCACCGCCCCCAGCCACCGATTAGCTAAAACACAGTCGACGGCCATCGGAGTCCCGGTCCGAACCGCAACCTCGATGGCCCTTAGATGACAAACCATAGTTAAACGCACGTATGAGTACATGCGTGGCCCTACCCACAGCGGAGGGCCCAAACCCGTGGGTTCTGGCTAACCTACAGTCAGTTGAAGCTTTGGGAGCCAGCAGGAGGGAATAAATAAGATGCAGTACAAAGAACAAGCCGTGTTGAGAAAACCATCCTCTTTTATTGTCACTCGTTGCTATAGAAATTTGTCAATAATAGGGTAATGCTAGACCGATGAGAGTAAGGGTGTAAAAGATAAGAGCGGTGCTACACAGTAGCAAATGAGTCGCCACATCACCCCCCTACGGAAAAAAATAAGTACACATTGAAGGCAAAACAAGTATAAAATGTAACAATCAAATAACTTATACACTGTTATTATAAAAGTACAAGCAACATTATTTAGGATAATTTTTAACTAATGGAATTTTAATTTATACAACGAAAAAATAAACATTGGAAACTTAAAATTGAAAAAAACTCTGCTTTAACAAAAATAACGTATTAAAAACTAGTACTTATAAATCTAAAATATCTTTAAATTTAACTTTGCGACCTGACCGGGTTGTTACAGGCTGTGCGGGCGTTTTAATGGGCACGGCCGTTTGGCTAATAGGAGGTGAAAGAGTCGGAAGGACTGGGGGCTCCGGTGCCAAGTTGTTAGGGGACGGATTGCCGTCTGGGTCAGGTGCAATATACGCAGGTTTTGTTCTGTCGATGCTAACCTCAGATCTTCGGCCAGAAATGTCTAAGGTAAGTGTCTTTTCAGATCTCTTCAACACTCTGTAGGGGCCTGTATAAGGTGGCTGTAGAGGGCGTCGAACGGAATCTTCGCGGAGGAACACGTGAGTAGCATCAGGTAAGTTCTTGAAAACGAAAGTTTTAGAATTCGTGTGACGTGATGCTGGAACGGGGCGAAGTTCTGCCATCCGTTTTCGCAACTGTGCAACAAAATCATCGTCCACGGTCTGAGGGGAATTGCTAGCCACCAGAAACTCGCCTGGTAGGCGTAGCGGTTCCCCATACAAAACTTCTGCAGCTGACGTTTTGATGTCATTTTTTAGTGCCGCCCTGATTCCGAGAAGAACGAAAGGTAGGGCATGGTACCAAGAACTCTTGTGACACATTAAAGCGGCCTTTAAATGGCGGTGGAAACGCTCTATCATCCCATTAGCTTGGGGATGATAGCTCGTAGTACGAACGCGTTTTGTGGCTCCTAAATCCATCAGTCTGTTGAAAAGTTGGGACTCAAATTGACGTCCCTGGTCCGTTGTGACAGTGATCGGTACACCAAAGCGAGCGATCCAGCCATGGGTGAATTGATCAGCGACTTCTACTGCGGTTATCGACGACATGGGCCAAACTTCGGGCCAGCGTGAGAAACGGTCTACTGCTGTTAGGCAATAAGTGAATCCGTTTGAAGAAGGCATCGGTCCAATAATGTCCAGGTGAACATGACGGAATCTGCCTGAAGGTGTGCTAATGTTGCCAAGCGGTGAAACGACATGGCGCGTTACCTTGCTGCTCTGGCAGGCGAGACACTCGCGTGCCCAGGAGCGGCAGTCTTTAGCAATGCCTGGCCAAACATAGCGGTCGCTAATGAGGCGCGCGGAAGCGCGTGCGCCGGGGTGGCTGAGACCATGTAGGCGATCGAAGACGGCTCGCCGATATTGTTTTGGCAAAAAGGGTCTAGGTTTGCCTGTTGACACATCACACAAACGGAAATGTTGGATCCAGGTATGAGGGTTGGCTCTAACTGTAAAGAAGAATGGACCTTTACGGTTTTAAGTTCGTCGTCCGTCTGCTGAGCTTTTGCCAGGGCTGCGAAATCGTCATCGAGCGTGATAGCCTCAATGCGGGACATTGTGTCAGCAACGATGTTGTCTTCCCCCTTCACATGTTTGACATCAGTTGTAAACTGGGAAATAAACGTGAGTTGGTTAAGTTGAGCAGGGGGCAATTTTTCACGGCGTTGGACGAAAGCATAAAGAAGCGGCTTGTGGTCCGTGTAGATTGTCGCGTGTTGTGCCTCTAGTATATGCCGGAAATGCTGTACGGCCGCGTACACTGCGAGAAGTTCGCGGTAATACGCGGGCCATGTACTTTGGCTCTGTGTTAGCTTTTTGCTAAAGAATGCCAACGGCTGCCAGCCTTGATCAGACCTTTGCTGTAAGGCAGCGCCGACATGAGTGCTGGAGGCGTCCGTGTACAACCCTAAACGAGCATTTCGTTGCGGATGTACAAGCATGGTGGCCTCTGAGAGACTGTCGCGACACTCGTAGAAAGCACGCTCCAAGTCTGCTGTCCAGGGCATAGCTTTTGAACCTTTTAGGTTGCTGACTGTTAAAAAATCCACAAGTGGAGCTTGGAGCTTGGCGGCTTTGGGAAGAAATTGGCGGTAATAATTTACCATCCCCAGGAACCGTCTTAAACCTTGAGCTGTTTTGGGAAGCGATAACTCGCGGAGAGCAGCGATCTTCTCTTCAGGTGGGCAGATACCATCCTTGGTTATCTTATAACCTAGGAAGATTACCCCACATGTCCCCAATACGCACTTATCCACATTGACAACGACGCCATAGTCCACCAGTCTTTGCAGGATTATGCGCAGGTGTTTGGCGTGCTCTTCAGCATCCCGTGAGAATACCAAAATATCGTCAATGTAGGGAAAAGCGAAGTCTAGTCCGCGCAAGATCTCATCGATGAAACGCTGGAAGGTTTGGCCAGCGTTGCGTAACCCAAATGACATATAGGGAAACTCGAAAAGACCAAATGGCGTTATTATGGCCGTTTTGCAAACATCTGGACCAGCTACCGGAATCTGCTGGTAGGCCTTTACTAGATCTAATGTGCTAAATATAGTAGAACCAGCCATATTATGACTGAAGTCTCCTATATGACGCACAGGGTACCGATCGGGAACTGTCCGAGCGTTTAAGAGCCTGTAGTCACCGCAAGGACGCCACATGCCATCCTTTTTGGGTGCTAAATGCAGTGGTGACGACCAGGGGCTTTTAGATGGGTGAGCAGTACCCGCCGACACCATGTCATTAAATTCCTTCTCAGCAATTTTTAGCTTGTTGGGTGCTAGTCGACGAGGACGCGACGTGACAGGCGGCCCAATAGTTGTCGTTATATAGTGAACAGTGCTGTGTTTTATTTGACGGTCAGCTGTAGGTGGGCGCGTCACTTCCGGAAAGTCTAAAAAGAGTTGACTGAACAGGGAATCGCGAGACGGTTTTTTTTACGGTCCTAATACTTGGCTGCATTATATTGCGGTTACAACAATATGCGGATAAGTTTGTAAGCTCATCGCGCAGTGTGCCGCTACGGCAGTCGGGTAGGAGGTGGAAGAAAGCTAGGAAATCCGAACCGATAATTGGGACATCCACGTCAGCACAAATAAACTCCCAGCGAAATTCACGGCGCAGTCCTAAATTGAGGTTCAGATTAACTGTGCCGTAAGTTTTAATGGAGCTGCCATTTGCCGCATTGAGAGTAAGTCCTGTATTTGAGAAACGTCCTTTTATAAGTTTTCGTGGAAAACAACAAATGTCCGAACCGGTATCTATCAAAAAATTAATTTTGGTATTTTGATCGGTAATAAAAAGGCGTTTGCTGGACTGTGCGCGGTCGGTAGCTCCTTCAATGGTCCAGCTGCATCCTGTTATGCATTTGCTTGCTTTGTTGCCGAAACGATCGTGGTACCAGCAATCCAGGTATCCAGCAACCAGCTTCTGATTACGTGGGCGTGAGCGCGATCGAGAGCGGCTCCGCTTTTGATTAACGCGTGAGCTCCCAGATCGTTCATGGGTGTTTGTTCTGAGCGCTGAGACTGTTCGCGTCAATTCCTCGATCTGCCGCTGCATTGACGCGAGAGTGGGCACAAAGGTATGATGCGCCGAAACCTGGCTCACGGTGGTAGGCCTCTCGGTCAATTCCACCAACTGGTCGGCCATCTCCGCCAACTCCGTCAAGTCCTGGATCTTCTGTGCGGCCAACACAATTTGCACCTGCCGGGGAAGCCGATTGGCCCAAATTGAGTCAGCAGCAAGTCAGCGTCGGGAACGATTACCCACTGCCAGACTCTTCAAGTGTCGCATGGTTGAACGAAGATGGCTTGCGGTCACTTGAAACTGTTCCGGAAATTTGGTTAATTTTCTAGTAGCAAAACGCCGCCACCTTCGGGGTCCTAATTGCGACCCCGACTGCCACCGACTAGTGCAGTAGCATCACCCTCGTTGCCAACGTGGCCCGAATCGTTAGATTCTCCTTGACTCGCCATGGTTTAAAGGTAAAATCAGAAACGGTCAAATCGCAAAAACGCTTTACACATACACGCAGTGGAACAAATCGGTAAATACACAAACGAAACAATTTCAGTATTGCGCAGCAAACGTAATAATAAAATTGGTAGAAAAGTAAAGTAAGTCTAAATACAACATAAAATGATACTATCTTAAGTGTAAAATAGCACTAAACTTTCACTTGAACGAGTGTAAACGCAGCATCCGTCGCGAAGTATCAGTGGAGAGCTGTTAGTCACCTGACACAATGTTGCGGGTGATTGCCGCGCGTGGCGCGCTTTTCAACTTCCTCCTCGTCAAAGATGACGTAGCTCCGGTAGAGAAAGAAAAATGGCCGGCCTCGATGCGAAAAATGCCGGCTCAGCGCTACATAGAATGGACAAAATACGAGTCCAATAGCGATGTAGATTATCGTAGATGCGTTTACAGTTGTTGCGATTATAGCTTCATGGCTGTTCTGTACAATCTCCCTCGCAGGCTATACCATAGTCTCACTCGCAGGTGGCTTTTCTAGTCTCCCTAGCAGACTTCTCTGCACGGAGGGAAAAACAAAAAGAAGGAAGCGTACCTAGGCGGCGTCGCAGAATGGAACAAACCTCGATTATCGCGAAAATTGTTGTTTCCGAGCGAAACTGCAGAGCGTAGCGACGTGGGCTTCGATGTTGCGCATATTTATCACATCACGTCGGGGTTACTAGTTTGGGAGCCGGCAGGAGGGAATAATTAAGATGCAGTACAAAGAACAAGCCGTGTTGAGAAAACCATCCTCTTTTATTGTCACTCGTTGCTATAGAAATTTGTCAATAATAGGATAATGCTAGACCGATGGGAGTAAGGGTGTAAAAGATAAGAGCGGTGCTACACAGTAGCAAATGAGTCGCCACAAAGCTAATAGTCTCGGGACTGAAAGCAAAAACATCAGTTAATTCAAGATACAAGAGGTTAAGAACTGTTTTTGAAATATCTCAACAGCAATCTAGTTCTAAGCTTGTGAGCCGGAGCCTATTTTTTGAATTTTGAAGTCTTGGTAGGCATCCGATCACTTTCACGTCTATATAATTGAACAGCTTTCATCCATCAACTTCTTTGTTTAGAGTTTTGTGGGAATATATATAGAAAAGAAAACAAATAAGAAACACATATAATACCGTTATCGAACGCATTTATGAGTTCCATATAAAACAAAAATATACACGGCCTCCAAACATAACTTTGTTTAAAATCGGTCTCGAATATGTAATTGGGTAAAACGGAAACGGCGCTACCGCTTTCTATTTCGCATAATATATGTTTTTCATCTAAAAAAAACTCATATTTCATAGGTTTACTTAGAAAATTAAAATATGTAAAATATGTAGAAAAACTTAGACTAAAAAAACTAGGTTTACTTTTAATACAACAAATTATAAACACCTTTAACCTTTTCTACCGTCTGCTTTTTTTTATGTGAAAAGTTGCCAAGCGAGCAGACGGTTTACCTGATGTTAAGTGAATACCGCCGCCCATGAACATCTGCTACACCAGTGGGTTCCAGATACGTTGACAACCTTTTGAAAATTGGGCTCCGGCCACCTCACTCACCAGACGAATCGCGAAAGTATTCTACTTCCACTTTACGCCGGTCTTCTGTGAGGTCGTGGTACTTATCCGGACGAGCCTGCCCATTCGTGCAACAGCCGGTTCTGCTGCGCGGCCCTACCACCGTAAGTGAGTTTACGTTTTAGTTTACTGCTTCACATAGTACTGAATCTAATTCAATTTTGAAACCGCAGTACTGCGCCAATTTTCGTACTCACGCTGCTCATTCAGCTAGGTCCTCACCTGGTCGTTGCTCTGCCTTATGAATTTCAATTTCTGCAAAACTTCTCTTCTGAACAGTTATTGTCTAATAGGGGTTAATGATCTGGTATCATATCAGATCATTATTCATCCATGATACCAAATAGCTTATTCGGAAAGCCTGTACAATAGTCCAGCCTCTCCGAATAAGCTAAATCTCTTAACACGCGGTAGGTCTTCTCTATTATGGTTATAAGTAACAGAGCCCTCCGTTTCCATCCTGCGTTATCGTTTGCTTTACTTACATCACTAGCCAAACAATATTGGATAAAACGTCCTTTAGAGGTGGCCCATTCTTAGGTCATAATTTAATCCACCACCGAATATTACGATTTTACTCTTACTCATTTATACTTCGCCAGTTGGTATTTTTCTATACCAACAAACTATTTTGCACGTTAAGAGTATTTCTCGTCGCCAATTGTTATGTTTATGACAAGAGAATATAATAAATAACAAGAGAATATTATAAATAACAAGAGAATATTATAAATAAAATAAGTAATGGATTTGTACACGGTTAATGTACAACTGACGCTCGTTACAACCTTTTACAAATACTACGTCGCTATTATTTTAAAAAAAAAGCAAACAAAATAATCAGCGTGTCAGCGATGCGTCAACACCTATCTCGAGGCGAGATCGAATGGCGCGAATCGTTATATTTCTTAATCACTCTGACTCGTTCATTATAAATCTCGATACCTTGCTAGACGCGAAGTCGATTTTTAATACATGTTTCTTTCTCACTCTGACTCGTTCATTAAGCATCTCGCTAGCTCGCTTGACGCGAAGTTGACTTCGAGTCGTTTCTAATAGCGAATTGCCATGCGGACTCTGAGCCGGATTTGAATTTGAAAAAATATCGTTTTTGATAAGATTTTCGATATTGAATACTTTGTATCGATGTATCGGATCTTAATAAATCGATAAATAAAAAAAATCGATATATTGATATTTTTTCGCCATTCCTATATTTCTGCTGTGATCTGTGCTGTGATATTTATTTTTGGAAGACCGTGAGTGAGAGAAGCGGATATAATTATAATTCTTTTTGTACGTAGAATTTTGCTGAAATTCCAATGTCCTCCGTGTATTAGTAGCTCATTAAGATTAAATATGCATTGAAACTATATATATTGACCTGTATAAATTAAAGTTTATTAAATTATCAAAAGTTTCTGGACTTATGATCCCATTAAATATGAACTTCTAGAAATGTTTTCAAATAGGCAATTTCATCTCTCCTAGAAGTCATAAAGATAGCATATGTATCCTTTGATTCGACTGAGCAAATTTTTTTAGTCATGGAATAGTTCTGTGACCAGTTTACTTAAAACTACATAAAATATTTGCGGCATGTAAATCTTGTTTATCTGCTTTTTTCTTCTTCAGGAAACATGGTATTTGAATTTAAATAAAATGTCAGCTGAAAGTTCCTTGGTGAAGGCTATCTATTCCTTTAAAGGAAAAAACAATGATGAACTATGTTTCAAGAAAGGAGATATTATAACAGTTACACAAAGAGAAGAAGGGGGTTGGTGGGAGGGGACTTTAGGTGAAACAACAGGCTGGTTTCCTAGCAATTATGTGACAGAACATAAAGGTAATAGATCAATTTACTTTAATAACTTTAACCCTAAGTCATGTATTGGGCGTAAATACTGCCTGTGGGTATTATACTGAAGTATAAACTGATTTGAAAATGTAGGTGTAGAATTTTATTCATGAAAAACATAAGAAATGTCAACAAATAATGAAATAAAATGAATCTATAAAATGTATCCAGCCTTATCTTTTTATAAAACTTCATTACTATATTTACAGATCCCTCTGGTTCTTTAACAACATCCCCTATAAGAGCAGCATCAGAAATTCAAGCATTTAGAAATGTTGTATTAAAGGATATTATAGATTCCGAGAAAGCCCATGTTGCAGAAATGCAAGGTCTTGTTAGTAACTTTCTACAGCCCTTAGAAAAGAGTGAAATGTAAGTCAAAATTTATAGATTCTCTTTTAATCTACATTTTTGTATCTTATTAAAATACTTTGTTGTAGGCTCACAAAAGATGAGTTTAAACAGTTGACTGGTAACATTAATGAAGTTTTACAAACACATGAACAGTTTCTTGTTTTACTTGAAGAATGTGCTACAAAAACAGGACCAGATCAAAGAGTTGGTGGACTTTTTTTGCAGTGGGCACCTAAGATTAAATCAGTTCATCAAACTTACTGTGCTGGTCATCCTAAAGCTGTTTGCATCCTTGACAAATATAAGTAAGTAAATAAATATCATAATATAAAATTTTCTCAGTTAAAAGTTCATAAAAATGTTAAGGACAAATCATGGTAAATATCTAGTAGTTATAGTTTATGGTTATAAACTACTCTCTCACTCTCTCCTATAAACTACTCTCACTGGTTAGTGAGCTCTGATAAATCATAGAAGCGGCACATTCATACAAGTGATTTTTAATTAATAGCACAACTACTCTGACTAGAACTTATCACACGCCATTAAACATAAATGAACTTATTTTGTTAATTTAACTGAGTCTACATCCCTAAAAAAGCCTTGCGGTATGGCTTATAAGTGCCGTGCCATTACAGTACTGTTTTTTGTTATGTCATTTTGGTACAAAAATAATTTAGTTGGGGAGCCCAAGCCGGGATTTCGGGATTTACTCGAGCGCGGCAGATTAACATACAGGGGGATACCTTATACCTAGTTAATTACCTCCACCAAATATGAGCCCCATATACAGCGCGTCGTTACATCCGCGACAATAAATGAACACACGTCTAACGCTACTTGCCAATAATCATAAAAAAATATAAAACGTTAAAAAATCCATAATTAAAACAATACATTTTTCAAACAAACAAATTAAATTTAAAAAGAAAACAAAATTTGTATACAACTACAACTAACTGATTCATACATTCAGAGATTTTTTTATTCATTGCCAAAACGTCGCATTACAAGTCTCTCCTTCTAACAGTATGTTTTATCTCTTTTAAATTCATTCAACCCATTCATATGCTTTGTGACCTTTACAAATGAACTTTACGTTACAGTTTTATACATAAGGGTGTTCTAAACATGTTTGTTTTGTAAAATATAATAATTCGGTAAATATTGATGTGTAAAGAATGTAAATACTTAATACACTTTTAAAAAGTTATCCTCTATATGTGTGTTCACCTATTGTCGCTGTTGTAACGACACGCTGTATAAGGCCGCCGTCAAGGATAAAGGATCAGATTAGTAAAAAAAAATGATTATCAGAAATTCTCGAGCGCGTCAGATTAAGGTAATAGGATGAGTTAATTACATGCTAAAAATGTTTATTCCACTAATCTGAAAATTTGAGAGTTACGTAAAGAAACTAGCCGAAGTAACAAAAATTTGTCGATAAAGTTTATTGCGTGCAGCTGCGTGATGCCTATATTCTTTCTCTATCTATTACTCTCTATATCTAGTTTCTATTGTCATGATGATTAATTAATCATTATAAAAATTCATAAATAAATCTTTTTAGCATTCTTTTTTAAATATTTTCTTATAAATAAAGGATAAGCTTTAAACGAGCAATTCTTGTATATATATATATATATATAATCGGAATCTCGGAAACGTCTCCAGCGATTTTCATGAAATTTAGTATGTGCATAGATTCAGGGGCGAAATATCGATCTAGCTAGGTTTCATTTTTAGAAAATGTCCTTTTATCCCTGTTTTCAGGGAATGAAAAATATAATTCGAATATGACGGTAAATTTCGCCGCAAGAGAAAATGTCATAATAGCTCGGTCGGTAATCGGGCGGCCCCAAAACAGACGGCCGTGGTTCGCGTCACGATCAATTTTTTTTTTCCTTTTTTTCGATTCCAGATCATTGCTTTCTTTATTTTTAATTTTTTGTCGATTTGTTATTTTCTTACTTTTTTCCCTTTTTTTTAAAGTTCTTTCTTTTGTGAAAAACATCAGTTCATATTTTCTTATTATTACGTCGGTAAGATCGAAAAATATTATGCATATTTTATTACGCAGTAATTTGTATCTAAATGTAATTTCCAAAATACACGATTTACCAAAAAAAAACAAACCGAGCAAAGCTCGGTCCTCCGGTTACTACACGTATTATACTTAAAAAACGTACACGTTTTCATTTGCATGCTATTTCCTGACCTTTTCAATGAATTAAGCTCAATCATGAAATAAAAAAAAATTGTCAGATTAGGCGAATCCCTCTAGATAATCGTCAGATTATGATACAGCACGTCTAGGACATGAAGATGAACCATATATATATCTTAATCTGACGCGCTCATGTATTTCAAAATGGCGTTTTCTTTTTGCACATTATATTAAATTGGCCGTGAGTTTGCGTCACATCGAAATTGTAAAATTATTAAATGAGAGCTTTTTGTCGAAATTGTAAAATTATTAAATGAGAGCTTTTTGGGTTCACTTAATACTTCTTAAATCTGACGCGCTCTAAAAATTTTTTTTTTTCATTTTCAACCCTTACGCACGTACCTACGTACTAACCGCATCATGCAAACGATCAGATTAACATACGTATATTATTAAAAATGCGTAGGACATTGATGCTATCAATATCTGTCGTGGTCCAGTATGTTCATGCAACAGTATTTTTTTACATATTTGAACATCTATAGGCGCTCTCCGCACTGTTGAAAAGGTACAAATTATATAATATTTTTTTCTTCTTATCAACTAAGCTTTGCAACCCAATGGGTCGCTATGACACTTGAGTAAATCCCCATTTAGCATTGTGGGCTCCCCTACTAATGCTTCCATGTTTATTTGCATTCACAGTTTATAAGATTTTATAATGTCATAATGTTTAAAAATGTTATAACTAACTTATACATTAATTTGTATCTTGATTATATCTTTATTTATAGGGAAGAGCTAAACACATGGATGGAGAATGCAGGTGCCGTATGTCCTGGTGTTCTTGTTTTAACTGCTGGGTTATCAAAACCATTCCGCCGCCTTGGAAAATATCCAGCTATGTTACAAGAGTTAGCAAGGCATGTACATGAAGCTCATCCAGATAGAGGTGATACTCATAGAGCTTCCATTGTTTACAAGGATATTGCTGTAAGTTATTCAAGTTATCTGCTTTAAATTTCAATTTATTTTGATATTTCAGTTATTAACAAGAATAGGCATCAAAGATGTTGACTTTGGGGGAGGCTTACGTTCAGCAGTGGACGGCAATAGGCTGATATTGATATTGATTGATGTTAAATTTATTTCATAATTTAATATTGGTCCAATATTTACAATCCACTTCTATAGCTAGTTTGTGTATCAACTTTTCTTTCTAATATTCTATTTGAAATGCTTAGCAGAAATGTTATGTTTTGCTTCAGAGTGGTTGTGCAGCCTTAAGGCGTCAAAAGGAGTTAGAGCTACAAGTGGTCACTGGTGAAGTACGAGGATGGCCTGGCGGTGAATTGACTTCACTTGGCGATGTATTGCACATGGGTAGTGTGGCAGTGGGCCCATCGCATCAAGACCGCTATCTTGTACTCTTTCCTTCAGCTTTGCTCTTGCTATCTGTTAGCAAGAGAGTGTCTGCATTTGTTTATGAGGTTTGTCTTATCTCTATTTTCTAATCCTAGACCTAACTACAGAAATAGTAAGCATTTAAATTAAATTTTGCTTCATATATATATATTACGCGCATTGCGTGGCCCAGTCACTAAGAGGTGTTTCGAGGAAATAGGTGTGTCAGATAAAAACTGACACTGCTTTGTCAGAATACAAAACCAAAATTGGCAACTATTGCTTGGGTGATACGCGATTATTTCCATCATCGCTCATACATCCTGTACATGTGTGTAATAGCAGGTTTTCAGTGTGCAAAATTCGAAAACATTCACTCATTGGTGCAAACAAATAAGTTATAAGTAAGGAAGGTATCTACTTATCTGAGGTCTACTCTTTTGAAGCTTGTGAAAGCATATATAACCTCATAAGTGTATTAGATGTGAATGGTAATTTTTTAACATGAGACAATACACCTGTTAAAATGCCACCTCTCATTTAAAAAACATGTTTAATAACAAGTTTAATGAACAAATTTATACCTAGAAATATTGTTATATATGGCTTAGAATACATTTTGGAAAAAATACATTAGTAAAAAACAACGTATCACTCCATTTTATTATATTCTAATATGGATTCTCTGCTGAATATTTAAAATTTACATATAATTTAATGTTTAATTGTAGGGATGTCTTCCTTTGACTGGTATAACAGTATGCAAATTGGATGATACTGATACTAGGAAGAATGCATTTGAAATAAGTGGACCTATGATAGATACAATAGTGGCGGTATGTCAGACCAGAGCTGAAGCAGACAACTGGGTTAGCCTATTGCAGAAACATTCTAACACAAGCAGTCCCTCGCATGACACTGGTCAGCCACAATCCTTACCTCAAGTAAGTATAGAATAAATGATTCATTATAATCATTGACAGATGTCTTTACATAATTTATACATGTTACATATAATTGTTTCTGTATGTTGCTATATATTTTATAATTTCTTACATAGCTCACCCGATCTCCTTCAGAAGGGGCGTTGTCTAGCATCAATACTAGTCGTCGCAGTCTATACCATGTGACATTGCCGCCACCTAGCTATCCCTCGGCATCGCCGTACTATTCCCTAACGAAATACTTTGCGCGTTTAGTTAGAAAAAGGGTCATAACCAGACAAATGCTAAGGAAGTTGCTCCACGAGAGAACGTGGGCCAAAGCGTTCGAGCTGACCGGTTTGCCTGTTAGACGCAGGCACAAGAATCACATAAGACTGAGGATAGAGAACGATGGGACTATTGGGACGGAGACGGATTGTTCCGATAGCGATAGAAATTCGGAAGACAGCGACCGTGAGACCGACACAACTGAGAGCTATTCGAACTCCAGTTGTACCGATGCCGAAATAAATGATTCGTCGAAGATGATGCGACAAAACGCTCTGGATTCGGCAAGCCCTAGGACCATGTCGTCTTCTTGCAGCAGCTGCGGCAGTCACTTCGGTTACGTCCGTTATTTCGACGCGTCGAAAGATATGCATCTAGATGTGACCCAGCCCCATATAAAGGGCGACTGTACGAGGAACATTTTTTTACCTCTGTCCGATTTTAGCCCTCAAGTTCCGCCGGGCTTTGAAAACTATCATCCGCATCTGCATCATTCCCATAGTAACGACAATTCAAGCTTCGACATCAGGTCGTACATGGCCTGCGAAGACTTGGTCAACATGGATCAGGATAAACATATCGGGGTTCATGCGAATGACGAGTCGGATTTCCTTACGACAAGACGCAGTTTCCCGAACTGCAGCGCTAAGAATGAAAACGTTCAAAAGTTATGGAAGTCCACGGAGGAGCGGTACTCACGCGGGGAGGCAACAGACGGTAGTGTGTGCCATTTGCTGCAAGACCTAGATCCACCGTCGCCGAAATATGACCGCACCAGTCCTGTCGGCTCCATTATTCTGGACCCACCGCCGATGTTCCGGAACAATGACGATGATCTGAAAGTGATCAACGTCAACCTAAACACGAATGTTCCGTTTCGCAAGCACTCGTTGAACTCTGACAAGAAAATCCGCAGGTCCGCGTCTAGGTCGATGGTCGAAACGGAGAGCGTCAAGAAACACGACCCGCACATGGAACGGATGAGCTCCCAATCGGAGACGCGCAAGACCGCCAAGAAGTGCGGCTGCTGCAACAGGTCGCTGTGCCCTAGTCCCAGGTCGTCCGACTCTGGTGTCGCGGGCAGTTGCAACCTCGCCTCCCCAGAACTGAACATGCACGACTACACTGCCGCCGGCGGCGCCAGTAACGATTCCGACTGCCATGTCAAAGCTAGCGCGACGCGGGATTTCCACGCGAACCACAGGAAGTTGACCCTGTCCGAAATCGAGGCGGCCGCATTCGAAGACCAGTGCAGGTGCACATCTCCCTTCGGCTCCACCGCGAGGACCTCCTGCGTCACAAGTGTAACATCTGAAACCAGCCTCGACGTAATGGACTCATCTAACACTTACGTTACCTCAACGTTCGCTGGAACCGCTCCTGTGCAGACGCCCGAAGTGAAACGCACCTCGATTAGGAGGAACATCGAGCGATACCTGCCCGAAATAAGGATAAAGCCGGAGGTGCCTCCGAGGGTGTATCGTAAACCCAGCACCCATTTGGAGGTCCCTAAAAATGTTCGCCAACCAGTCCCGTGTCAATGGAGCACGCTGAATATAACGGAGCGTACTAAGCCCAGTCTCCACTATCACATGCGCATATACAGAGAAAAAACCGATGACAACAAACAGCAAGCGCCCACTAGGAAGTCCCGCGAGAACATGTTGCGTAATTGCGAAGCTTTCAACAGAGAGAATCGGTCGAGGGATGAAGTTGCGCGCAAAACGCGGTCGCGGAGCGAGGACTTACTGAAGTCCCAGAAAGTTCTGTCGGAAGCCCAGACTGGCTTCGTCGTGTACCGTTCAGATTTATACGCCCATTGGTGGATGAAAGCCAAATTACCCATTACCGTGGTCACCGACTCAGGCAAGGATAATTTTTTTGTAAAGAGATACTGTTTTGTGTATCACTGGTTTTTCAGTTTTGTAACCACTAGATTAATGCTGTCATTAGAGTACCCCCTATATTGCAGTGCTTTACTCGATCATCCTTGCCTGTGTTTATTCATCTTACTAACTAAAAATCACTGCGAGTAGATGTCATACACTAACAAACTGGAAGGAGTGCATGGAGAGCTTGTTACCACACCGTTTTGCCCCGAGGTATTGCAAAGATAAGGCTATAAATTATAATAGCAACTAAGCGCCAATGAATAGTGTCTAAATGGATCTAGGACCACGTAGTAGTTTTAATAAATCACTTTAACGGCTCCTTTTGCTCCTAGCGTTAATAAATAAATTGAAAAAATATAGCAATTGTTTCATATAGTTAGAGGACCTTAAAAAGTACGTGGTTTCAAGAAGCCATTATATTAAAACCCTTCGCTTTGGATGGCTGTATGAACACAGTCTAATTGCAGTAATTTTTCGTTAGAGAATAAAATAGCGTGCAATGAACATTGGATATTACCGGCAGTATATGTTTTTAATGTTACTATTACTCGACAGATGGCCATGAGCGACAGCAGTAACGACTTGTCATCGGGCCTCAGCAGTCACAAAAGATCACATTCATTCAACAATCACCAAAGCTACACACAGCATTCACAACAAACGCAAAAGAGCAAGCACAAAAATCAATCTGCGCGCTGGTTATTGAACTCTTGCGACTCGTTGGACCAATCGCCTGTTAAAACTAACAAAACGCCAATTGGAAAGAAGTATTCATCGGTTGACTTTATTGACACAACTGATTCGAGTTTTTTGAACAAAGGTAAATTGTTACGAACGACTGTATTGATTTCAAGATAAAATTAAATTCTGTAGGAGAAACGGAATTGTTAAAATTTAAGCAAAGTAAAATAGTTTAGTTATCAGAAATTTAATCTGACTGACGGGGATTATTTATATTCACAACATCAATATGGTAATAAATCCTCAGAAAAATGTAAATCATAAAAAAGTAAAAGTATAATTTTTCCACTTCACTGGTGAAGTTTGTCATTTGGTCTAAGATCCAAGTGTCTAACGCCCGGTTTCTGAAACACTGATCATCTTAGAATATAACTAATCATCTATCAAATGGCTTTTCGAATGTCATTTGAGTTGCCAAAGGAAGGTTAAAATAATTGAATTGAACATTCTGCTCAATTCAGAGAGTTTAGCTTAAGCCATTTAAACCATTTGACAGTTTCTACGATGATCAGTGTTTCAGGAACCGGGCGTAAATCTCTTATAGGCAAGCAGTATGATTTATATATTTACTACTATATACTATCTTCCAAACGTTATAAGCGTTGCCAGACGTACTTTCCTTGTAATGATATAAAAGTATTCACCAAGGCCGACACTGTATTGTTGTTTTAGTATTAAATGATTAAATAAATCATCAAACCTCGTCGCAACACGTCACGATTCACCGCTACTGTGCCGTCATCGTATTCCGCTGTTCAAGGGTGGAGCATAACGTGTCTGCGGCCCGCGCCGCCGCTGCGGCCGCAATCGTTCACGGTCGGCTCCGACGAGAACATCGGCCCCACGCACCCGTACGCGCCGCACCAGAGGAAGTCCAACTCGTACGAGGAGGACGCGCTCATCTTGAAGGTCATCGAGGCCTACTGTACATCGGCGCGGTGCAGGAACGCCGTCAGCTCCGGTGAGTGCGCGCCATTGTTCGAGGAATCGGGAAACCCCCTCCCCTCTCCCCCCAACACCATTATTAACATTGTGAGAACGTGATTGTGCCCGTTTTTGTTTATTTTTTTTTTTTTTTTCATTTTGTGTTTGTTTTTTTTTATTATGTCGGTCTAGGCCGTAGCCACGTGGCGCTGAACTTGAATGTAAACCATATTATATTTGATTTATTAGAAACCTTTAATTATCTATATATGTATAAAATGTTATACCTACTAATTTTAGTTTGGTTCTGATGAGTGGTATGATTTATTTTATTTTTATACAGATATATCTATAAACTTCATAGGATTTATGATTGGCATACAAGGCGTTTGTATTTATTTCGAAATTATAGATGTATTCTATAATATTATATCCCTTTCGCATAACACTTTACGAAAGGTTTCTACTAACCAAGCTTTAATTATTATGCAGTACCCAATATACCCCTGGAGATATTCGAGTCGACAAGAAGAAGACACGCGAAGTCAAGAAACCGTATTATCAGTTGGTTATTAGAGTGAACGATCTGTATTTTATAAATAAACCCAAAAATAACTATTAACAGAATGTAGAGCTTGATAATAATATGTTGTCGTTGATGTTTGTGGTTAGTGTTTTAAATGTTACAGTTAACCTTTGTGTTTGGTAAATATCTAATATATGAGTATTTGTAAATGTATTCACATCGGAACTAACTTATTTAATAGCTGTGACATGAGGTATGATTTAACCGCTATTGCATGGTACTAAGCATGCTTTATAACTTATGGCCTTTTCCATAGATCTGATTTTTAACATGGATAGTTGTACCAATGGTATACATTTTTTTGTTTTGTTTACAGTACAAAGTAGCTAGTCATTGTAGTGATGTGCAATACCACACACTGTCTATGATTTGTTCCGTTGTTATAAAGGTAGATATTTTGAAGATACTGCGTAGTTAGTATGAGAGTAATCAAATTTTGAATTACTTTGTTAGTCAATGAGTGAACTCAGTCAGTAATTTAATATGTATATTTGAAGTTTTATAGTCGGATAAAATATTTATATAAGATAAATGAAAAGCGGTATGATTTATTATTTTCTTTAATAGTAACAGCTCTGGACAAATTGTATTTGTTCTTTTTATCAGCCCGTCTAATTAATCCGAGGGTGGGGATGTAAATAAACCGATTAGCCGTCGCCATTCGGTACTCTGAACATTTCTATTTTGTTACATGCGGCTGCCTATAAATCGCACCTGCAGTGGACTGCGGCCACTTTTCCCTCGGTAAAGTACAATATCACGCACCCGCCACTAACAGCCCCCACCGTAACTATGCGAAGCAGCGGGCTGAAACGCCCGAGCGCACCGGTTGCACCAACACCAAGGTGAAGCGTAACAAAAGCTCGTCGGCGGCGGACGCGTATCTGTACCGGGCGCCGGAGGCACGCCGGCTGCTGGCCGATCGAAAGTTCCAGATGAACCGCTCGAACCCCAACCTGTGGGAGTGCACAGAGCGCGATCGTAGTCAGAGGTTGCACAACGGCCGAGAGCGGAGAAGCGGCTCGCACCCGAGCCTCGCTGCACCGCTGCGCTCGCACGCGCCCGCCCCCCCCCGCCCCCGCCCCCGCCCCCGCGCACGCTCCCCGCTCCGCCCGCTCCTCTACCTGGTGCTGCGGCACTTTCGTCAAACAACTCACCAAGTCCCATCACTTCGATTGACATTAACTTTCCACAACGCCATGGTAATGTTATGCTGAATTTCACGAGCGCATCTCTGTCGCCGTGTACCTCATAGTGGCCACTACCTACCACCGGCGACCCCCTACACTTGACCCGCTGCGGCCTTCCAAGTTCAGGGAATGTGCTCTAGTATAATATTACCATTATACGCTGTGGACTTCCTTAAAAAGTAATACCGCTTCTTCAAACTAACACGTGATTTTCATAGTATTCATCCATCTGCTCCATTTGCTTTTTTATGGATCGAGTTATGATGCCATAAACTAATCCAAGTGTACGCATTTGATCATCCATTGGTGTTCTATTTAAAACGAATGCCTCATCGTGACTATTTACTTTGTTTTTATCTAACTATAGATTATATTTAGATACGGTTTAAGATAAAAAAAAAATTGTGTCAAAGTAATAATCCTTTTTTCAGAATATAGATTTCGTATAGATGCATGATTATTTTCACAATAATTATAGTAAAAATGGTGAAGCTAGTTATCTATGTCAACATAGATTTATTAACTTTATCTGACATGCACGTGTGCAGTATTATTAAAATAATTGACTAGGTATAAGCCTTGCTTTTAATTATGATTAAAAATATGGTGCATTGAAATTGTTAATTATATACGTATATAATATGCATGGTTTTACTGAATAAATATGTATTATGTATATTTTTATATATACAGTTGTTTAGAAATAGAAATTATAAAAAAGTTAGCGTTTGATAGTTTTATTTTATAACCTACACTGTAAACTTTATTGGATTATAAAGAAATAAACTACGTACCTATCAGATGCCAAAGTATGAATTTGTTTCTTATTTAGAAAATTTTATTAATTTTTATTGTGTTTATTATGTTGTTTTTGATTATTAAAGATAATTTTTGCAGTTATCATATTTTCATATAAATTATAACGACTATTAATAATATATAATATATTTAGATGGTATGAGTTCGATGAGATTACATATAATTATCTCATTTATCATATAAGTTTAAAAATAACTAACAAGCTATTCATAGCGTGTACTTTGTTCTTTGGATATTATACTTGTTATCGTATGGGGTAACGTTAAGCTAACAAGACCGTGAAATAGTGTTTAAGATTTATTACTGTTATAAATTAACAGCATCTTTCGAACCTAATATAGCTCAATAAATGCGCCTGGAGAGTTTCGTGACTATAATAAGTCGATAAATCAGTGAAATCGGTCTCTGCTTAACGTTTATTGGTGAATATAATTTTTACTATTTATATTTGTGCGTTTGATCTAAAAAATATAAAAAGGATCATCAAAAATCCTGCCACTAGTTAAAATTCTATTCAATGTAAAGTTGCACTTTTGTATTATATTTTCACAAATGTACTATTTGTCTGGTGGGTAAGACATCGGACTTTATTATAAGGTCCGCCTTAAAATGAAAGTGCCATGCATCAACGACTTTGCAGTTCTTCGTATTTTTTACGTATCGCAGGTATTTCGGTTATACATTCGTACCTTACCACACATTTGGGCCGAAAATTAGCTCTTGACTTGAAATAGCATTAGCTATCTAGCTCGCGTAATATTATTTTGTGAGATAATTGAAATTTATCGGCATTCGTAATTGTCTCTTAGAAATAAGTGTTATTTAAAAAAAAATGGTAACGCTTGTTTTGTCTGATATATAAATTTTTAAAAACACGTGTGTGATAAGTATTTCGATGGTTTCTTGGTGTATTTCCCTTGATTTGTTGTTACCATAACTTAATTAGGGTAATAGAAATCAACTCGCAAATTTCCATTACTAGCTATTAGCGAAATTGCTAGTATTCAGTGGTCGGTCTGCATACCGTGTCATTCATTGCATATTGAATGTAACCATACCTACCTAATATGTAAACGTGGGTATATAAATGGGAGAGTTTTAAAAAGTATGATCTTGTAGTTATACAACTTTTAATCTAAATTAAAAATATGACAAAAATATTTTATATTTATGTGAATATTTCTAGCTTCTCACAGAACATTCTGGTAGTTGCTGCATTTCTTTCAAATTTTATCTATTTTTTTGATTAAATTTAATTTGAAGTAATTTTAAAATAGCAGTTTGCTCGAAATGTCCATGAATAGGTTAAAGAAATTCAGTCCCCATGTATAAAAAAAGTATACCGTAGCTGGAGATATTTATAAAAAATGTAATGTGTATGAATAATATATTCATATTATATTATTCTATTCAATGTATTAACTACACGCTATTCATAGCGTGTAGTTAATATATTGGCAAAGATTTGATCTGATAAATCAAGGGTTTTAATGAAAAATTTAGCATGTATTTGTACAGTATTATAATGTTGAACACTTGTGATATCGTTTCATGTGTATTTTTCGTGTTTTTTTTTAAATCTTTTGTAAGTAAATGTACCAAAGTTTTTTATTGAAATTATTATCAAGAGTTTGTATGCAGGTGTTGTTTGGTGTTTGTCATCATTTAATGTGATCTGTGTATAGTAATAGTTACGAATCTGCACTATTAGGTTTATATCATATTTATCCAATCCTGGAAACTAGAGTTTAACATTTTGATTATTATTTTAAAACAGTCATGAACCTCCGCGGTCTGTATTAGTGTGACCGTTTTACTTAATGTTTGCGTCTTAACAATGATTAGTTCTTTAGTTCTTCCACATTTCTCACTTTGTAACCATCGAGTAAAAAAAAAGTTTTATGAATATTGTAATAAAATATTGTTCATTAAAATGTGTAAATTATTAGATTTTGCAAAACCCAAAATAATCTGTATCAAATCTAGTCAATAAACTAGTTTGATTATGTAAATTACCTTTTAAACTGAAATGTTACGTATTTAACGTTAAAGATGTACGTATAAATCATTTTATAATATTATAAATAGACAGCGGTAGATAAAAGTTATGTATAACACAGGAGGATATGTTGCAGTTATAAAAGTACCATGAGTGTAATAAACTTACATGTGTGGAAAACTAATGTCTACTAGCAGATTGTGTTTATTTTTTTTAAATAGTTTTTTCATAGGTTTTTAATGCTACACTGACAGACGTAATCAAATAAAATTTATAAGACAAATAGCTATGTATTTTTTGAGTTCTTACGATTTTCGCTCAAAATTGTTTAAATAAACAATAATTAAATTATCCCGCCTTACGTCTATTCAAGGTGGGTAACTAATACAATAAAAATATAAATTAAGCGAATTTAGGTCTATGTTAAGGGAATTATTATAATTTTCAGAGTGCGACGACGAAACCTCAGTGTGTATAGATGCCCTAGTGAGATCACCTTCTCTTCCTATACACTCTACATCTAACCACGGTTCTCCGAGTTTATGGACTATTGTTATGCGATTACAAAATGAAGTGAAAACTCTAAAGTTGGACGTCAAACACCTACAAATGCAACTTAAGGAAGAACAGCAAGACAGAAATTTCGCCATCGGCGTAATGCAAACGAAAAACTTTAAGGACGCTAAGGAAAGTAAATGTTAGCACTATGCTCACATGTACTTCATTTTAATATAGTATTAAACATTTTAAAACTCTTTTTGTTTCCCGTAACCTTACGCTCCACAAAATTGTTTTATTACAAAAATGAACACTTGTTGTATGACAGAATTCAATAAATAGCGTGTGAAAAAATTTGCTTCAAACTTCACAAAGCGTAACGCTATCAAGCCTATGTCAGCTTATCGTCCGAAAATATTTTATTCCGTGATCAAACGTTATTTCAGTAACTTCGATATAACACTTTGTATTGTTTATATTTATTTCATTAATAAAAAATAAAAATCTCTCATTTAAGCAAATAAATTATTTTCTTTTGAATTTAATTGTTCGGTAATTTATTACTAAAATATGAGGCCGAATACGAACATTCAGCGTATCCCTTGTAAAAGATAATTGAATCGACAATTAAACACGAACACGTCGTTTTTCATATTCTTCGACAGCTTCTTCTGGTATGGATGAAAATCCTTGACCGCGTAATTTTTTCTTAATTTTTGGGAACAAAAAAAATCACTAGGTGCCGCCAGGTCGGGATTTTATGCACGTAGGCTCATAATTTCTACGTTTTTCACCTTCAAAAATTCATTTGTCTATCTGGCCATGTGAGAACTAGCATTGTCGTGGTGCATGGTGATACGGCGTTTACGGTTATTTTTATGCAGTTCGTCAATAGCTTCCGGCAAACAAACGGTACGACGATTCTATAAAGCAACAGTAGCCACGTGTCCAGTTTTATAAAAAAAAGAAGCAAACATCCGCTTAGATGCACTTTTCACGCGCGCCGCTTTGGTTGGTTACGGCTCATCTTGAAAAACCTATACGCTCGATTGCTGCCTTATTTTGGGAACGTAGCAATAAATCAAAATTACACTTAAAATCGTAGTATGATATGAAATTTTTCCCGTATCACGTTAATGTAGACATGTAATTTTTAAAATGGCACCACAATGATAAAACAATTGACAGTAAGATAATAAATTGCGTTCAGACGCAGTAGCATGTAACCAGAATTCCATTTCATTGTGGCACCAACGCGGAACAACTGGCACGTAATATCAACAACGTTAACGGAGAGCACTTTACAAACAAACACATAACCTGTTTTGTGGTTTGCCCGGTTCCGTTCTAGAAATTTTGACATGCAAAATGAACCTCATGGTCGTCCGGACACAGGTCAACAACGATTAATTAAAGGCCATTGTGAAAGCTGATGATACTCAAACTACATCAGCAGCTTTTGATGTTAGTATCATAACAATATTGGTCCATTTGCGACAAATTTGCATATCTACCTGGCACCCATCTATCAACCTTCTTTACGGTTGATAGATGGGTGCCCCACGAACTTATCTATCACCAACGCAACGTACCTACTCGTCGAGTCCTGCCTCGCGCTGCGCTAGTCGTCGACGGTGCATGCTCTGATCCTAAATTTGTCAATCCTGCTGTTCCACACGGCTGTGTACTGTCTCCCATTATTTCTTCT